CGCGGTTCATCCGTAGCTTTTAAACGGCGAGTGGGTTCTCGACACCTCCGCGAATCCGGGCAAACATCCGGTCTCGAACGTTAACGCGTCGTTCGCACGGTCTGTCCTCGGTCTAAACATCTAGCGTTTCGCGTTCAACGATTCGAATTTTTTCCTTTCCTCTGTTCCCTTTTTCATTGGCCTCTGGACATTAATTGTCAATTTTTGTCGCGCGGCAGTTCGTTATAACGCTGAATCGCACGCTGCGGGATATTCGCGTTGCCGGGGCAGTTGTTAAAATCGGAAATAATTAAAACAAAAGAGTGCACGGTCGAACGGGTCGCGATACACGGTGATTTCGACGGATATCGAAATAAATATTATTTTATTGTTATTTTCAATAATTGCGATTGTTATGTCGCCACGGTTTCCTAGCTCGCAGCCCCCCCCCGTTTCAAACGTGCGCCGCGATATTTTATTTAAACGCGGAATCGCCAATATTTTATTTTTCAATTTACTCGTTCCTTCATCCGTTGCGATAATAAATAACCGGCGAAATGTACCGTCGCGCTCGTTTCGCCGGCGTGTAACGGCGTTAAGCAAGTATTATTCATTGCCCGCTCGGAGCGGCGCGTTCGATCGTCTCCCATTATCCGAAAATTTCTTTAATTCATGCGAGACGTGACGTTCATAAAATTCCCGGGCTCGTGTTCCCCGCGCGGCTTATCCAATTTCAAATTAATTTTTCTCGTTCGCGAGCCCGGCGGAACGATCAACGGGCCCGTACCAATTACGCGGGCTTTTACTATGAAAATTTCCTTTGAAAATTCGCGTCCGAAGCGGTTCGCGAGCGCTGTCCGGACAATTATCGCGATGGGCTTCCGCTATCCGTGCCGGTACAGGTTCCCTCCCGCCGCTTCTCGGACACTTGGCGCGCCGAATTATCGTAACGTATCGATCGCGCGTGTCTCGCCCGTAGTCGCATTTACTCCCGGAATAAAAATATTTCTCGATCGGCCGCTCTCGAGAGCGGCAAAGCGATCCCGGAGATCTTTGTCTCGCGGCGAGACAACCGGAAAACCCCGTCCTCGCGGCGAGAAATACCGGTGACAGCGGGAAATCGTTCGGAAATACTCTTTCATGGGACCCCTGTATCTTTGGGATCGGATGGGAAAAAGTTGTCACGGGCTTCAGACCGAAACAGAGATTTATTGCGGCGGGTGGAAACGTCCCGGCCGAATTGGGAGCTACGTAAATCGATAAAAATACTCCGGTGACTGGTGAAAGGGACAAATTTGTCGATTGGATTGTCCGACGGTCGTGATAAATGCAGTAAATATTCATCGGCACGTATAATCCTACGAACATTCTCTTTACTTTCCTTTCAGTCACGCGTTACGACTCGAATAATCAATTCCACGGTTCATAATTGAAACGCGACGTTCCTTGAATTGGAACGTCCAAAGAAACAATATAAATGCTACATTTTACAACGGTACACCAAACATTTATTTCTCCGTATTTCCCCTACGTACACGCACACTCGCGCACGTTAAAATATTCGCAAAAATCCCCGGTCTAGACAACTGGCGAGAAAAAGGTTAACACGAAGCAGTCGGTTGTCGCGAAAATAAGCAACCCCCGTCCCGCCCGCGGTCCTTTCAAGCTTAAAAAATTCCCGTTTCATCCCCCGGAACTCTGCCGAAAAAAATCCTATACATTCCGACGGTGTATCAGCACCGGCGGGAGAAAGTTTCGCCGTCGAAAGGGCGAGCGGGCGCGCGGCGGAACGCATTTGCCAGATTAAAACGCTATTCGGCCGCATCGAGGTGCCCGTAAATATGGCCGCGGAAGGACGAACAGCCCCGGGAAGAATGGCGGAGCTCCCCGGATGAAATTGGATACGCGCGCCAAGATTCCGCGCGGCTAGGCGGAACGCGGAAGAAGGATGGCTCCATTCGGGGGAATAATCAGGGCCGGCTGCTCGCGCGCGATCATTTCGCGGCGATCGAGTGCTACGGTCTCTCTCGCGACCCAACCCCGGCGCTCACCTACGTGGCCCCCGCCCTTTAAATCCGCGCACGTGATGCGTCCGACTAACGACCCACTCGGGGAGCCGAAACGTGTCTCTTGAATTAAGCACCGCCGCTCGCCCCGTACATTTCGAGGGGATCCGGAATTGCCCGGGCGCGATGAATAATTCAGATAACGAAATATATTTGTCCCTGGAATTTTTGCCGGGGACCGTTGGCTGCTGGATATGTCCATTCGAGGAGCCGCGGACCGGTCGCTTCGCGCGATTTTCGATTATTTTGACTTCTTGGAACTGATGTTCCTTGATTTGAATCTTTCGCGGTGGGACGTCGCTGTGATTTGAACTTTGATATGCTAAAATTGAAGGTGGAGAACGAGTAATTTAATTATTCGGATGGTGATATGAGATTTTCTGATTTTCTAGGAGTAGTATCGGGCACTTTAGAATTTTCATAATTCGCGAGAGGTTAATTGTATGGTCGAACGTTTGAAACTTTTCCTCTTGTGGCTCACTGAATTCCTGTTCGATTTATTCACCATTGATCCGCGATGAATCCCGAGTAGATCTACGCCGCAACAATCGAAGTGTAAAGTTGACACAGCCAGAGTCGCTGAATAATGGAATATTTCGACGAGCGCGGTAAATAGATTAAGAAAATTCAAGAACACCCGTGAGTGATATTCCGCCCGTATCTCGTCGAGAATCGCGAGGCACAACGGATCATTATTCCGTCGGTTGTATCGGCATGCTAAGTCGATTGCGTAACTACATCGCCAACAGCGCATCGTTGTGACGCGTCGCATAATGCCTCGCTTCAGACGGTTTATCATACCACAGGAGTAGAAGTATATACACGGGTTCCTGTCTCCAGCTGCTCGGAATTCAAGTGTGCAACGCTTACCGTTCGCGATCCTTGCGCAATCGACGCGTGTTCGCGCAATTAGATCGCGGAATTCGATTTTCGGGTCGTCGGAATTTCAAACGGTTACCGAGCGAGCCAACGTTTTCTTCGTGCCGTCCGCTTGATTGAGAACTACCGTGTCCCGGCTCCTCGCGAGCGGTCGGAGGAACGGATTGAAACAGATTCGTCGAACCGTCCACGGTGAAACGCGCTCCGTATCAGCGGCGTTCATCGACAGGCTCCTCCGCGACGGGTCCGTAATTAAATTCCGCGATCTCCCGTCGCGAACGACTCTCTTCCAGCGATCGTTCGTTCCGTTCCTCCATTCCCCGTGATTGACTCGCGGAAAATATCGGTGTCCCCGTGAAGAAACTGTTGGGTCAGCTCCCCGGAGGCGCGAATAATCGAACGAGTTCTAGCACTCCTCCTCGGAGAGTCTCCTCGGCGTCGATTCTTCTTATCCGTCTCTTCCCCACGATCCCCTAAATCATTTTCAATTTATTTTCTCAATTTTCCCGCGACATCTTCTTCAACCGGAGGACTCTTTTCGGAAGCTGTACCGATAGAATACGGACAGAGTGAAAGGGACAAGGGTTCACGAAGCTGCGGGTTGATTAATGAACTCCTTGCTGCGAACGCT